AAAAAGAGTTCTAGGAGAGGAAAAAAAGAGACAAAAAAGAAGTAGCTACTTTTAAACATCACAATGTTTTAATCTTTTTAGAACAAAACATTTCTTTTAGAAAGGCTTAAACATAAACATTTAAGGGGATCTCAAAAGTATCCAACACTTTAATTTGCTGTTGAAAAAAGATGAAAAAGAAGTTATCTGAAAATTTAATCTCCCTTTCTAAAGGACATTCTAAATCCACTCTCATATCAACATTCCCAGTGGCAAGCTGTTACTGGCATTAAAAATCTCAGATTAAATGTTTGTTTTTGTTGTTTTAGTGATTTCTTCATGCTATTTGTAAAGCTTTGGCTTATCCCAAAATTTTAGCTCCAGTGGTTTTTTCCAAGGTTTAGTGCAACCTTTTATATTGTTCTCTTGCTCTCATTCAGAGTTCCAAACATCCTCAGCAGTTCTGATCAGATGCTTTAATAATGATACAAGTTGCTCAATTTTTGACCTAACTATCCTCTGTATCAGGCAACTTCTTTAGCCCCGTGTTTTAACTCAGCTTCAGAAGTGACCGTGAAGGTTTCTCTTCTGAAGTTGGAGAAATGGACATTCTGGTACAATTAATGACATGCTCACATGAACATCAAAAGCAGGAAAACAGGTCAGTGAAATCATCCTAAAAGTAAAGATAAAAAGATGAAGTAGAGATAAAAGATAGAGATACCTAAGAAAGTAATAGATATTTAAAAATAGATAAAATAGGTATCTAAAAGCAGAGATAACTCTACTGTCTGCAGAAGTGATTCACTCAGACAAGTTATGTTAAATGAACCTGCTTTAGTTACAAAGGAAGAGGTTGGAAGCAAAGAACAAGGAAGGATGGCAAAAGGAGAAGCTTTGGTTCAGTCCAGACAAGACGACTCCTGTCAGAACCACCTTTCTACCCTCATCTTCAGCTGCTGTTTCAATTTCTAGTTGTTTTTTTCCTATATCTCATTCTCCTTCTTCTTTTTAAACATTTCCTGTTACAGTCTGCTAGCCCCTCCGATGGTTTTCTTGAAGCCTGTCACATCACTGTAGCCTTCAGCATTTGATTTAGAACAGAATGCACTTTGTACGAGGTCTCTCCAAAGGCATGTCAGCTGTCACTTTCACAGAGTTCACACAGAATGACCAAAACACTTGGGAAAACTATGTTTTCAGCTATGTTCTCAAAACATGAATATAGAATTTGTTTGCTCCAGTAAAAATTACAATAACTTGTCTATAAAGAAATGAATGCAAGGGAAAATGTGAACCAAACAGGACAGAGGGTTTAGCGAAAAACGAGTAACTTTGGAGGTTTGGAAGTTCAGCTCTGACATGCTCTCAGTCACGTAAGGTGGTTTATTTGAACCTTACCAAGAAATATACGAAAGCCTTGGATCTGGAAAAGGGGGTCAGAAATACTGCAGCACTCATCCAGGACATAAGCTCCTACACAGAGGCAGGGAATAGAAACAGAGAGAAGCGAGCAAGATAGAGCTGCCCAAACTTCTCCCAGCTGATACAGCTTGAATTTACAGTAGATGCTTAAAGCAGTCCTTTGTTTGCCTGCCCTTTATTTCTATCTGGCACTATTTTCTGCAGTGAATTTTGGCACCAGAGAAGGGCAAATGCTTAGATGGCAGAAGCCCAAGTTGTTAAGCTATGGATGAAGGAGAAATAAAAACCATTTGGCTTTCCAGATGCCCATAACTTGCAAGAAGTTTCTTGTCTGCTGTATCCATACAAGATAAGCCTTGTTCATCTATAACCAAGTTAACTGCTCACACAGACACACATGCAGAGCATTCTTCCCTCTTTGTTGCAACCTCATTTCAGCAGCAGCAAGAGAACTCACTAAATTTCAGATCAGGATATGCATAAAACAATATGCAAAGCAAATTCAGGGTAAGATGGAAACATCACTTAAGGCTTTTTGCCATGACATTAGACAAGCAATACCCAAGAAGAGCTGTAATGAAACTAGAAACAAAATGGCCACTGGAGAACAAGGGAACAAAGCAGCCTGACAGAGCAAGGCATAGGACTTGTGTATGAACAGCATGTAGAACAATGTGAGAACTCAGGTCTAATGTTCCTGGTTGGAAAAAAAATTGTAGGAAAATGAAGTAAATCAATATCTGTTTTGTTGGCACTAGATATCAGGGAACGTGCTAAAAAGGTTACTGCAAAGTAAACCAAAGCAAAGCAAAAGCAAAAGCAAAGTAAAACTAAACAAACAAACAACAACCCAGAGTCTTTTCATATTGCAAAACTTTAGTGTTTTCTGCAAAATACACAGAACACAAACTGTATAGGAGTACAGAATGTCTGGCAGCTGTTTTCTCTCCAAACAACACACAGTTAAACTGCCCTGAGTTAGGACATTTCATCTTCACACTGGCAACTGAAGTTTACAAAGGAAATAAAAGTCAACTTCGGATAGACAGAGAAGTAGACTAAGTCATGTCCTTCCTCTCCTTGCATCTCAGAACACGTTTCACCTAGGAAATGCAGTGTTAAAAGTGTGTTCTCTTTACCGATGACAAGTACAACTGACCTATGGAATTTCAGGGCTTGATGCAAAAGAAATAGGAATGCATATGTTAAAGTTCCAATGCATCTAAAAATATAAGCATTAAAATACTTTCCTGGTTTTTAGCCCCTTCAGGCTTTCATCCCTTACAAGGGACTGCATAAGCATTTTTAAATGCTTTAGACTTCTCAAAACCAATGTATAGAGATCTGAGGCCAGCTGTTTTGACTGATCTACCCACAAACACAGCACAAACAGTCCCACCAGCCAAGTATTCCCAAAGAGAGGCAAACACATTCTCCTGCCGTCTGCTGAGAATAGAAAACTCAGATTGTTGTAGCACATGTTGGCACCAAATGGAACCAAATAAGTGCTAGAATGAATAGCAGCCACTTCGGAGATTTGGGAATACTAAAATGTGTTTCATGTAAGGTAAAATGGGGAGACGCAAAGCTCAAAAATTGGTACATTTAGTACTTTCCCTTAAGTTTCATCAGAAAGCAATATATTTCCAGCAATTACAGGAACAAAACAAAGAGAAAACAGCAGCTTGTGGTAAAAATACATGTATTAAACCTATTAATTCCTTTCAGGATGATGAAAAACATCTTTTGATGTGACAGTCAAAAGACAGATAGGAAAACAAAGCATCTCTACAGCTGTCAAGAAGGTTGAAAGCAACACCTATGGACATTTCTTAAAGGGATATTTTAATACAAGGATGAGGCAACTGACATAGTGTTTAACATTCAAATTGAATTAAACGAATTGCACAACGCCGGCGGGCCCAAATCAGAGTTTGGCTCTTCAACAGATTCAGAAGGTAGGAAAACATCTGGACAGATGCTGGACAGCCCAAAGCAACACTGAGATCAGAGGCTGCAGCACTCTGACCCAGCCAATGCCGTGCAAATATCCTCACAGCCGAGAGCAACAGCCTATCAGAACAGAGTACAGGAAACAGAAAAATAATAAAAAAAAGTCACTTCTTCCAAGATTCAATATAATTATTAAAAATAAATAAATAAATGAATGAATAAATAAATAAAAGCATCTTGCACCATTCTTGAAAAGGAAGATGCTTATGCTTTTGACCCACAACGTTCATTTGAGACCATCATGTCTTTTGCCTCATGATTTATCCACAGAAAGCATTTGAAAAGTGATTTACTCTTCAGCGTCTCACAACAGACAAGCAAACCAGGTCAGCATAATACTATGGATTTTTCTTGTTTTTCCTACTGACTGGACAGCTTTTGTTTGACAAGAGCAAAGTTCTGATGGACAGACAGCACATTACAGTTCTTGAATATATATCCAAGTAGCTGTATGAGAAATCTTACACATAATCGTCCACATTATGACTACGCAAAGACGAGTAAGACTTCTTTTTCAATAAATTAAACATACAACAGAGGCTGTTGTGCCTTCCTCATTAAGCACATGAAAAGCTATGGGGAAAACATGTTGCAGTCAATAAAACATTGCTACCTACCATACAGAAGTCACCTTTAAACAAATGATATTCAGATGAAAAGAGGAGAAAACAAGGGAAGAAAAGCTAACAATTAGAATTATAATTTTCAGCAACTTGGAAAAAATCATGCAGTTCAGGCATAAGTCAATGCTGCAAATCAATTTCCAACAAAGCACTGGCATTCAAACAATTGCTATTCTCTTGCTGCATATTGTCTTTCTTTCATTTCCAAAACCATTAACTGAGAGTTTTGAAGTTGGTGATAAAGGGAGGATTATGATCTTCACATTAGCTCTGGTTTCCCTCAAGTTACTTGCTTTCCACACCAAAAATTCATCTGCATATGATCTGTTACTCATAAGGTAAAGAACAAGCAGCTGAAGGACTGACTATCTCATAGCTGAGGTTCCAAACCATTTTGATCACGAACCATAGAACCACCAAGGTTGGAAAAGATTCATTGCCAAATTTTGTTTTGTTTTCTTTCAGAGTATAATACATTTTTAACAAACTTTAAAATTGCAAACCCAAATTGATCTACTGAAGAATCATAAAAAATATTTTCTAAACTGATCACTAAATGTCATACATTGCTGTTGTAGCAAACTCCTGCTCATAGATACTTGCTTCCAGCTTTCCTTCTGCCTTCATATGAGAACTGGATAACATAGATAAAATTCTGGTGATGTTGGGGGTAGAAATCTCTGATTTAGAGCATAGGAGAAAGAGAAAGATGAGCCATTGAGAACAGGCAGTTCAGGAAACAATAACAGAAAGGAGATGGTTCTCATTTAATAGGTAAGTGTAGAGAGAATCCTGGGCACCTCACTGCCCAGAGGCGAAGGCCAGCAGGGAGCAAGCTAACAAGTGCAGCACACATCTTAATGGGTGCAGTGATATGCTGCCCTAGAAGAAGCAAAACCCATTAGCAAATACAGTGGCAGGTAAAGTTACAAGGTATAGAATTTAAGAAATTTGCCATACCAGAGGTAAGGAAGGCATCTGACATGTCTCCAGATATTTTGACTCTGAGCTGTTGATTACTTCATTGCCTTTGGAGATCCAAGCCCATCTGAGAACAGATACAGCAAAAATGAGAAACTGCCTATTTCATTTTGCCAAAATGACAGCCTCTAACAGTCACAGTTATGCAATTGCCTTCTTTTTCAATAATACGTCAATATTCAGAACTCTTAATATAAGAACTCTTTTCCTACAATCAAACAGTAGTCTTAAAATGACCCCATTTCATTAAAAATCTAAATAAGGTATTATCTGTTCATAAGAATCCTGTGTTTAATTAACAAAAATACTTTAAGATGGGTGAAAGAGTTGGTGGTCAGTTACTTATCCCTCTGTCATAGACTTCATTCAACCAGATCTGAGTATTACAACAACAACAACAACAACAAAGGCTGTAATTATCTACGAACATTAAAAAGTCTTTAAAATTAATAAATACTAATTCTCTTTGTATTTGCAATCTAATCAAATTCTTAACAACTGTTCTAGTGAAATTAAATATTCTGATTTCAGCAGTACTGAAATTACATTAATAAGTACAGTCAAACACTTGCTTTCCTACATATTATTCTGAATATAACATAATACATTCATATAATAAGTCAGTAGAATTGGTTTTATAAAACCGAATGAGTGTTTGATCAGATTACAAGAGCACAATGTTTATATAAGAAATATTTAAGTAGGAAAAAATCTGGAAGAAGCTACAATAATTTAACTGAAAAATAAGAAAAAGAGAAGTATTTTCTTTTCCACTGGCATGAATAGAGGCAGGATTTCATTCCAAATTCTGCCATTTTCATAATATCCCTTGTACTTAGACTGAAGCATCACATCTCAGTTATGCCCAGTGGCTTTCTGCAAGCCATTACTTCTTTCAGCAACGTATGGCAATTCTCACACATTATCCTCACAGACTCATCGGTGCCCAGGCTCTACTTCAGAACTCTGCCAAATCGTTTTTGTACTTACTCTCATAAAGAAGCAACATCTACTTTTGGCAACAATAATCACAGTTTGCTATTGATACAAACCACAGTTTTTCTCCACACATAGATTAGAAAGCACTGACAGTAAAACACTGGCAAAATATTTAGACAAAAACACATAAATGTTACATAACAAATACTCCTATTTAACTCCTTGCTTTATTCTAACATGATTGTTCAAACATTGGCAAACAGCAAATCCACACTGCTTTAAACAGTGCTTTGTTGAATGCTGTATATAGTTACTGATCCTCTGTTAAGCATGCCAGTGCTGAGGGATTTAGGGTCATTTGAGTCTTAATCCGTATCATTCTTTGAGAATGAAACAGAAGGTAACTGACTGTGGAAGCAACACGGAAAACATATTTTATACAGAAAAGTAGCATTTTTTTCAGATTCATCATCTAAATGGCTATAGAAATATATGGCACATTAAAATAGATCACAAGAGTCAAGACTTTTATTCTAAGCAATATACACCTGAAAAGTTTCCCTGAATATTAAGAACATTCAGAAACTCAAAAAAAGAAAAAAAGAAAAAAAGATGTTTAAGATTTCAAGGTCAAGATTAAAGAGTCCACACAAGGATCCAGACACAAAAAAGTTGTGCTGGGCACTGTGCACAGCTTGTTGGAAAGACTGTACCCAGCCTTGTGTTGGCACTCAGGTGATGCACCAACAGACATCGATCACCTTGATAAAATATCAGGTACTATCATACTATGGATTTTAACTACCAAAATCAGACCAGACAACTAGATGTCTCTTGCTTGTACTAACCCGCAAAACTGGCCAAGTGAAGTAGTTTCAGGCAGAGCAAAGTGTTCAGATAAGTGTTCAGCAGGTAAAAGGACAAATATGATCCCCAGCTATTAACTCTCATCAAATTACTAATTGACTCAAGGTAACTATGAAAGTAATATGTGTTGCATCATGCAGCAAATGCAGAGCAGAGCATCCCACGTACTCTGCAATCATTTCAACCTTAGGCTATGTTTTAAGGACAGAAAGGTCAGCCGCTCATCTGGCTCAGTGCTGAAATCAATGGAGCAATCCTGATTGATGCAAGCTGAGGATCTAGCTAATGAAGACAGTGACGTTTACAGATTTACCTGGGGAGCTGCCCTAAGAACTAGTCTTTTATGGTTTAACAGCAATCGGTACGCATATTCTGTTACTACAACATAACATTAAACTGATGGCATCGCTGTCCCAGTTGGTCACTCAAGCTGTGCAGCCCATTTCAGTCTGCAGGGCTGAACATACTGTTCCATTGCAGTGACTGCTATTAAAATATTATGCCTGAAATTAATGCATTACACCTTGCAGACTAATGTTCTCTAAATCAGACTGGATTTATCTAGGGGTATTTTTAGGCAAAAATACATCCTCACAAGCAATGTAATGATCAGCACTTTTCCCCCAGCTGCTTTAATATGGAATAAAGCCTATGAAGTAATTAATATTTATGAAGTAAATTAGTTCCTGTTAAACCCAAAGTCACAAATATATGGGATTTGAACTATAAAAATGCAAACCTAAACCAATATAATAAAAATACACTTACATACATATTAATTGTGAACTTCGGTCAAGTTGTTATATATTGCTTTAGTAAACGCAAAATTAATAATAATGCTGGTCTGCAAACTTTTGTATTGATCTGTATGATTTCTAGATTAGCCAGATACAACAGAGGAAGTCTCATTTTAGTGCATTAGGGCACCTTTGAAACTTGATCAGCAGGCTGACTCTTTTATGTCCTTCAGTTGCCAACACTGCCTCATTTCCACTGACAGAAGAATGCTTTCCCCTATTGGAATTCAGAGAGCACTATGCACAGAAGGACACTCCTTCCAAAGAGAATTGATATATGATTCAACCTGTATCATAGGAAGAGATAGTTTTACCCATTATTGAAGTGAAAACAACATACGCTGTTCCTGAAACATACATTCTCTATATATCAAGCCATTACAGAGAAGAATAAATAACACATTTTTATACGGTGCTTTTTATCATCAGATCTCAAAGTGCTTCATAAAACATGCTGTTCTACATATACTACACTAATAAAATATTAGAGGATTACAAATGTTCATATGTGAGTGGTACTAAAAACATTTCAGCATCAGAAAGATATTACAAGGTTCAGAAACATGAGAATTTAAGAGCTCCCATATGAATTCAGCAGGCTAACTTCAGACACCCAAGTCTGCAAATGTTTGCTTTCATATGGACATAAAAGGAATCAGAAGAAATGTAAACTAATTCAAGCTAAATATAATATCTCCCTAGATCATTATTAATGTTTTTATTAGCATTTGTTACTTCCTCTCCATTTCCAGATGGCACAGTGTATGACAGCATCAATATCTGTGCTGAAACACAGATTGAATGCTGCAAGGAGTGCCACAACAGCCTGGTTCTGTGGAAAGCTGTGTTGGTTCTTTTCATGCAGTGACAAGTGAGGAGAACAACTTTTTTTCCCTGTTTAGTCAAGAAGATTCCCTAAATCTGATTACACCTGGGGCAGGAGTACAGGAATGGGAGAGGATAAAGCATTCAGTTCCCAACTGTATTCAAGCAGAGACTGCAAATCAAAGTGTCGGACTGGCAGTTGAAGAGATCGCCACCCTTAGTTCAAGTTCAGAACTGCTACAGCTAACAGATGTGGAAAGGGGATCAGTCTGCTAAGTGCAGGAAACGTGCTAGAGAACAGTGTATTCTCCATAACAAACTCCTGCACCTCTTGTAGGGCTGGCTGCAGAGAGCCCAGGCACAGTGATTTCCAGAACATCTGACTGAGATCACCAGCTCATCCTATGCACACAACAACTTGCTATCATTCATCACAGTTTGTTTAAAGGCATTCTGCCTGGGGATATTATCTACCCATCCTCTAAAATGTGTTTAATATCCATTTTTCTCTCTTCCTCCTAAATTATAAAACTGTTTAGTTGACTCCACAACTCTTCCATCTTTTAAGCATCAAGGAAAAGCAGAGCTGCTTGAAAAAGTTGCAGGTAGTGTGGAATTTTAAACTGAACAAAGAACACATAAGCAAGCTTCAAGTAAATAATTTAGCTCTTGGCCTGAGGCATTACCTTTTATTCAAAGAAGCATAATTGGTAAAGAATGCTAGCAGAGTCATTTACAAAATGTTAACTATGCAATAGCAGAACATCCTGTTACAAAGCAAGATAATTATTTTGCATACCAGAACCTCAAAAGTAAATAGATGAATGCACAAAACCTTAGATGATCTTAACAGATTAATGTATGGATATCAGAGGCAATGTAACCCTTGAAAATATTCAAGACAAAAAAAAAAATAAAAAAATAAAAGAGAGAGAAGAAAAAAGTAGTGCTTCAATTTCTTAAGAACACATCTTTATTTGCTTTTCTTTTCTGCATTATCTCAAAACCTCTGTGCTGCACTGGAAAGCCTACTTACGATCTTCATTAATGACAGGGATAGCAGGGCACAGTGTACCCAGAGCAAATTAGCAGAGCCTGGAGAAGAAAAAGTTTAGGAGCGATCTCATCGATGCATACTAACGCCTGGAGGGTGCAAAAAGGACACAGCCAGACAGGGCGCTCATTGCCAGGACTAGTGGCAGTGGGTACAAAGTGAAACACAGACTGAGGGCTCAGCTCCTTGTACTCCAAAAGCCGCCTGGGCATGGGCCTGGGCAGCCTGCTCTGGGTGTCCCTGCTCAAGCGGGGGGTTAGGCCAGATGGTGTCCAGATTGCGTCCCGTCCAGCTTCAATCATTCTGTAGTTCTGTGATATAGATCCCATTTCTCCTTCATCTAGAAAACAGCTGTATTCCGGGCATGTATTCAAGCAATAGCCCACACTGAAAACCGTATTACATATGTCTCTCATCTGCGCCTTCTCCAACTCTGTGGTCACAGAAGGCACAATGGCTTTTCTATTGCAGCATCTTTTCAGTTTGCTTCCTTAAATTACTCAGGCAAGAGCTATAGGGGTCTTCTATCTCCATCCCCTTTCTGTATCAGTTCGTTAACTTGGTACCACTTTGTTTTTTCACTGG